ACAAAAAGAAGGAAAGAAAAAGATAAAAGTGCTTTACTGGAAACAGTCCTGAATTAATTAGCCTGGATAGTCCCAAAGGGAGCAGCCTTTACTTATTCTAGTTTTAACCTTGTTTATATCTACAAAGAAAGCAGCAGAAAAGAGATGGAAAGGAGGACACTATGTGATCTCTCCTCTATTATGCACCAACTTTGCTGGCTGGGGAATTCTGGGAGTTGAAGTCCACCTGTCTTAAAATTGCCAAGGTTGAGAAACGCTGAACTAACCAAATCGTTTAGGTTTCCACAACATGGCTGAGCCTCCGAATAACTTACCCAAAGTTTGAACTAATCAGGCTTAAACGTGGCATGAATGCATCTGCTACATCTCCAGCTGATCCTGGTTAAGGGTGTGTGTGTGTGAAAAAGCCATGGAGCTGATTAAATATGACTATCCAAAGGAAGGGTCCCTAAGAGACCCTTTGCCACTGTCTCCAGTGGAGCATCCTACCTCAAGGCTCCAGGCCTGATCTTATATAGGCAATTAACTCATTCGAGCCCTCAGCAGTGTCAAAGATTCCCTTGTCACTTCCTGGACAAAGATGCCACAACCCCTGTGGGTTTGGTGAGTAGGATCATCTTCCTTTTTCAGGGGGCTTGGAAGGGTCCCACTCAGATTGCTGGCTTTATCTCATCCCTTGCACAAAGAAATGAAGGAGGAACCTCCTGGAATCTTCTCCCCGCTCCTCTGGTGTCCATAGGGCAGAGTAAAAAAAAAGTCAAGATGGCAGCTATGACGGTGCTCCACCTGCTTTTTATGTGTGTTGCAGACACCTTTGGAGTCCTTGAGACTCTCTGAGCTTGGTTGTTTTCTTACAGACGTTTCATTACCCGTCTAGGTAACATCTTCCATGCTGCAGTGCCTCATGGGCTACAGCACAGGTAAGTTACCCTACCTAGTTGGGTAACAAAATGTCTGCAAGAAAACCACCAAGCTCAGAGAACCCCAAGGACTCCACAGTTCAACCCTGAGCTACAGAGATTCTCTTCTATTGGCAGACTCCTCTGTCCACCACTCCCCCAAATCCTGGGCTACAACGTTCTTTGCCCCATACAGTCCCCCTAGCCTGGTGATGTCACTTATGGAAATACTGTGGTTGAGTTGACTGGGATTCAAGCTTGTTTTTAGGTTTCTTAGGTGGTTAATGAAAAAGATGTTTTTTTCTGTAGGCTGAGGAGGATGCCAAATATTTGATGAGTAAGCTGAATCTTCAATATTAAAAATCACAGGATCATTCCAATATGATGGAATCTACAACTTACCAGGTCTCTTTGGAGGTGCCGGTGGAAGTTCAGACCTTTAAAGACCACAGAGAATGAATTCAGTGAATTCAGAGCCTTCCTGAAATCCTATTTCCATCACAAAGAATAGTTTGCAGCCTTGCTACCACCTCATTCTCTTGCAAGAGCAAAGAAATTACCCTGACATTTATTTTATTGGGTCAATTTATATCCTGCTTTTTCTGCAAGAGCTCAGGGGGGCATGCACAGCACACCCTCCTCTCCTGTCCTATTGCTCTCTAACCTGACGTTGTGCTCATCTGGTTTCCATAAAGTTTTAGCACATTTCTAAAAGTCTATGCACAGATAGAATATGAAGGACACTAGATGGGAACCAGCATCTTCTTTCACAGTAGCCTGATGGTCATTGAAAGCCCAAAATATGGCTACGAAACCAATAACCTTCTTATAATAGAATTAAAATTGGAATTAAGGCACATCTGGCCTCAGAAGGTGAAATCAATGAACGTGGCCTTGTAGCTGATTTTGAAAAAGGCATTCTAAGATACTCTGGTCTTTGTCTTCTCTCTCCTTTCTCCTTCTCCAGACTCCACTTCTAACACCCACAGCTTATTCCAGTTTATTTCCTGGTCTGACTTTATGCCATAAAATTCCACAGAAGCTGCTACTCACAGAGCCTTATTCTTCCCAAATATATTCTGTAAAGAGAAATCAGAATGAAAATGACATCAACATCTCCCTCTACTTTTAAGCACCCTAGATCTCTCAATCAACACTGGAGCGTGTATCAGACTTTAGTAGCATTGACAGTTTGGGGGAAAGTGGAGCTAATTCAAAAAAATTACCTAATGCTCTTTGGCACACCCAGGTGTTCCCAAATATGCAGAAGTATATGATACTGTAAAGTGATCGGGAAAACACACATGTATGTAAAAATGGCCAACTTAATTAGACGTCATGCAAGTTTCACGTTATAGTAGGACAGCTGGGGTAAAGGTGTAGTGGTTGTTGAAAAGATATTTTTTAAAATACATAGTCCACTTATTACTTGGTGTTGTCTCCAGCCTTGCTAACAGAGAATAAGTATCAATAAACTCAACACTTTTTATGTTAGCAAAGCTGGAGATGTATCTGGGGACTCTCACTAAAGAAAGCAATCGCATAGACTTCTTGGTTATAGAATTGCTTTCTTGTTCAGCTTGGCTAGAAAAATGTTGAATTGCGTCTTCCTTGTCCCTGTCAGTCAAGTTTTGATCAACTTATATCAGGATTAGGCAACCAGCCTAAGTCAAGATGGCAAAGGATTGTGGCAGTTGCAGTCCAAAAACCTTTGGAAAACAACCATGGATGATCAGCCTTCACAAAAATCGATTGCACAAAAAGCATTAGATTTCCATTGAAAAGTTCAGAGAAATGGCTTCATGATAGCTGTCCCCAGTCTGAGGTCTTCCCGATATATTGGACTTCAATTCAATTCAAATCTTGAGTTGAGAACTTCTGTCTTTCTCTTCTATTGGGACATCTATCTTGCCAGTTTGAGTTGGAAAGCAAGAAGACTCTAATATAAGCCCTCCAACTATTATAGAAGACAGGGTCCTACAGTAGTTCTGAATTATAACAGACATGACACAAGTCAGATCAGAGGTGACACATTTCCCAAGAATGGAGTAGTAGAGTGTCGTATGATTTTATCTCTAACAAGATTACTTCTCCAACCAGTAGGTTATAATGATGGTTAGATACCATTTTGATCTGTCCTTTGTGACCCATTATCATATATACTAATGCTGCATCACTTCTGTTCTCCTGGGCAGCCCAGGACATCTGGAGAAAATAGCCATGATTAAATGCAACGGAGATCTGGCACCCTTCCATAAGGGGAGTGGGGGAAAAAACCTATTGGTTGAATTTATAAGTAGTGCTAAGTTAATTGTAGAATAAATTACAAATGCCTTGGCTTACTAAGACATAAACTATAGTTTATATATCTGAATGGCTGGGTTTGTACAACATGGCAAATTAAAACTAAAGAAACCGTCTTAGAGCAGTGTGAATTTGATCACTGGAAACCTCTTCTGTACAAGCCAAACTGAAATGACCAGGAAAATGAAAGTTTCTAGAAGAGCTGAGTTGGTGATGGACTTGGTTGACCAATACATCTTCCAAATCAGGGCTGCAAAAATCCAGATGGCCACAGGATGGCAGGAATGGGAATGTTCTGTGCTTCTTGGCTGCTACCTAGTGGTCATGAGGAGTTCTGCAGTCCAGATCTGGTAGTCTTGGTGAACAGCTCAGATAGATCCTCGATATTAAATCCCATAAATAATACCAGCTATTTTCCTTGGCTGGAATTGACCTTGCAATTGTAATTTGTGTCATTTACAATCCTGGGAGCCCCCCTCAGGTCATGAAGTTGAGAACTTCTGTCTTTCTCTTCTATTGGGACGTCTATCTTGCCATTTTGAGTTGGAAAGCAAGAAGACTCTAATATAAGCCCCCAGATTCAATCCAACCCACCTATGGTACGTGGCTTCCCCCATTTTTGCTTTGCAGCTCTCTAAGAAATTGCTAAAAATTTTGCCCACTCTGAAGCACTGCATAAGGAAACGAGGAAAACTTTCCAATAAGTGCATATCACCAGAAGCATATGGATTGTGGTCCTACAAGATGCTTCTCCTGATTACTGAATAACTGATTTCCTATGCTGGAAACATATAAACAACTTGAAATTAACTAAAGGGACTGAGTTCACACAACACAAGTCTTTTGGGGGGACAACCATACAATGTAGATGATGATGATGATGATGATGATGATGATGATGATGATGATGATGA